GGGCTGCAATGCAATGGCACGGAATATCTCAGCGGAAACGGGTCGTCAAGCCTGACGACCTGTTGACGACTTGACGACATGCTGCCCCGGGCAGAAATAAAAACTAAAACCCCATCGGATGGCATGCCATCCGAGGGAGGCATCAACCCTAAATCCATGCCTCCCTGTGTTTAGGGTTGATGCCTCCCTGACCGGATGCATGCCTGAATGGGTTTTATTTTTTTTGCCCGCGGGCAGTGAGCTCCCCCGGGCGGACTCGCTTGTCCGCTGAGATATATTCGGCGAAGGACTGCAATGTCACTGTGCTGGGGAGGGGGAGAAGGGTTGGAGCAGGGCTGGTAGCGGGGTGAAGGATTCGAGGAGGGACTGGGCAAGTACGTGTAGAGCGCGAAGGATTCGAAGGGGGGGCTGGGCAGGTAGATCGCAAAGGATTCGAAGGGGGGGCTGGGCAGGTGGATCGCAAAGGATTCGAAGGGGGGGCTGGGCAGGTAGAGCGCGAAGAGTTTGAAGGGGGGACTGGGCAGGTAGAGCGCGAAGAGTTCGAACGGGGGGCTGGGCTGGGGAGAGGGGAAGAGGGGGGTAGGGAGGAGAAGGAATGAGGGGGGCGGTGTCAGACGAAAATAGATGTGCAGTCTGAAATCACAGACGAAGTATAGTGCTCGCTCTGAAAATTCAGACGAACTAAAATTCACTGTCTTACTGATCAGACTAAATAAAAATCATTGTCTTAAAAACCAGATGAAAACAAAAATGGAGGTATGAAAATCAGACCATCGGACCGATTTGGTCTGATAAATAGAGCCCTGGTAGCTCGTGAAAGGAAAAGGAAGGCCTTGGAGAAGTAGCTGGAGAACGGCATAGGACGGATATAATGAGGCACAGACGATGAACAGTCTGAAAAGGGGGTGAAGGAAAGGGGAGAAAAGGATCACACAAGACAAACAAGCAAGGAGGAACCGAGGGAGGAAGTTACCGATTGTATCCGAAAACTCTCGCATCGAGAGCCGACGATATCGAATATTTGTCGTGTTCGACGTGACGTAGTTTTCATCGATGAAGATGCTCATTATGAAGACCCACGGTTGAATACGCAGGCTCCCCTTATGTATTGGGTCGAAGTAGGATGGGCGATGGGGCTTGAACGCAATCGGCTTGCGCAGAGTCACCCTACAACGGGAGTGGATTACGGAGGAGGGCACGGGGTTGTGCGGGTGATCGTAGCGTTCTACTAATGTTCTTACTGCTCGCTGTGTTCACAGAGAGATTTGGCAAGAGTTTCCGCTAAGAAATTGAAAAGAACATTGAGAATTGAGAATTAGAGTACACAATGAGGCATGCAGGTCGATATGACTAGAATGGCATTGCAACCCCTAGCAAGCATTCTGCAAAGCGAACTGTCAGCGCAGCATCAGAGCGGTTCGCCAACGCTGAAACAGGGCGGCCTGCCAGCGCTGCAGCAGGGCGGCCTGCCAGCGCTGCATTCGCATGTGAACATCTGCGCACAGGTGCACACGTGCCGAGTAGGTCCAGGTAGACGGTTGCACCGTCAGAGACATTGCGCAGGTGCCAGGTAGAGAACGTTCCGAGGGTTTCGTCAGATGTCCACCGTTGAGCACGTGATGCCGTTTCGCAGATCGAATTTCGCTAAAACCTCCTAAGCGAATCACGCATGCCTTCCCATAGTTTCGAAGTCGCGCGAATTCGGCTAACCAGTTCGCCGAGACGAGGCTCGTCGAACGGCGCCCTTCGATCAGAGAACGGGGCTCCTCGGAAAGCATTCCGTCCGTCAGAGATCGCGCGACTCACTAGCAGATCAGAGGACGAGCTTGTCGAACAGCACCCCGTCGATCAGAGCTCGTCGATGGGCTAGCCGACCAGAGGACGACCTCCTCGAAAACCACCCGTCGTTCCAGAGGACGCGCTGGTCGTCTAAACCAATTTGACGACCGCTTTCGTCGAATTCACCATGGCGTTGCAGAGAACGCCTACGCCCAAGCGAGGGCGGGGCTTTTCACTTTGACACGGCTTCCCGCTGTCATCGTTGTATCTCGGCATTTATGTTGAAACGACGATCATTTTTGCATGGCGATTCGACCGATGCCTCCATGGTTCTAAGCATGCCCGCCATCTCCTGGCCAAAGTCATCACTGGCTACAACAGAGCATTGCCGCAGACCGTCATACCGTGATGGTGTTACGGTTGTTGATGCTATTATTGTCATTGTATATGCTGGTGGTGTTTGTGCAGTCGAGCGCTGAAGGGATTCGCGCCCAGAAGTTGGTGCGGAGATTAAGAAAGAATTATCATGAAGCAATCGAGTTCATTTGTGGAAGCGCTATTGGGTGAACCCTGCGAGTGAATTATGTTAGGCCATGGCGAAGTGTCGGCGAGTTCAATGGGCTGTCTTGATCGAGGCTTTTTGCGCTAATGGGAATGAATGGGAGCAATGCGGACCTACAATGTTGTACGCTGAATGCTAGATGACACAAAGTAGTGGATTCTTTACATTAGTTATAACTCATAGCATTTACGTATAGCCCAAATCCTGATCCAAGTGTATTGTGACTGTCTGGGCAATGGCAAATGCACACTTGAGACTGATGTCAGACACTCCAAGCCACAAAAGCCCGCCCGTTGACAGTTCCCTCCCTCCCTCCCCTCCCTTCCCCCCTCCTCGGCCAGCCAGGCCAAGCCTGAAACTGGGGGTGTCTCAGTCGGCCCAATGAGAAAGATTTGTCCGTTACTAACAGTGTTTTGACAGTGCCGTGCATAGTTCCTTTTAAAGCTGTATTTTGAAGTATACTCGAAACTGTAGAACATGAATGATTCTAGACGGGATTAGTTCCTCCACCCTTCTATCGTTGTTGTGTTGTGTGATTCTAGACGCTGGCGTGCGGATGTACTCCACAACCACCAAAGGCCGGGAACCAAAACAGTTCATTCTTTCATTCTTTCAACACGTACTGTACACCCTTCTATTCTCAGCCTAGAATTGCTCCCAGCAGTGCCAAACAGAGCACATGTAAACCCGCACGTATCGGGACCGGACCCCCACATGGACAAGCAGCATCCTGCTCATCCCCTGGAAAGTAAAAGCTGCCGAACCGTGCATCTTGGCGTGCGTGGGTCACCTCACCTTGCTCTGTTTGCCTCGATTCTTCTTCCCTTGCAGTCCCCCACGCCTCGTCACGATTCGGGTCGTGTCACGGTTTGGTCATGTAACCACTTTATCAGGCAAGCGAAACAGACCACTCTGATGCGATGAAGTACGGTGTCAAATGAATCTAGAAGTTTACATTTCGGTAGTTGGACTACACCAAGGGTTTTCCGGTCCTCGGTGGGGTACCCCTAAGCCACCCACTGCAGCTCCCTGTCACAGGGTCAGCTTCCTCGCGGCTCACTCTCACATCACGTGAATGTGCTCCGAAGGTGAATGCAAGGTGCAAGTCTAGATCTCAAGTATGTGGATGTGTCCAATTGACCATACACGAAATTAGTTTTTTTTTTCTCGAAAACCCTCTTATTAGCTGGAAAGTTCCCACCCCTTGTGCATTTGTGCATATGTGTTGTGTGAGGGGCGTTCTTCCCACCATGGATGCATCCCAAGAGCCTCAAGGAATAACAAACCCGGCGCTATCGATTTTGTCATTTTTTTTCTTCGGAATATCAGTCATACGCGGTCAGTTCTTGAAAGGGACAGCAGATGAGGAGGCACAACATCACTCTTGCATAGATTGACACACGACGACACTCAGGCTTGCATACACTAGCATGATACTCCGCCGCACTCTGCGCTGTGGTTACCTCACTGTGGTGTCTCCAACAACCACTACAAGTTGCCTCCTGTAACTTCACTCACATCTCTAACACCGTCATTTCCGCTCACAATCAACTACCAAAGGAATATCTTCAACGCCCGGCGCCCCGTAGACTATTCGGTCGCCCACAGAGGTTCGCGCCGCCATAGTAGCTCCGCTGCGCTCTGTAACCGCATTCTGCGCGCTTCACTCACGTTAAAACCTACTACTTCTGTACGGTATCCGCCATTCGTAGCAATTCTCGCCGCTAGATAGTAGTAGCGGAATTTAGGTGACGGAGGAGTAGTTCCCGACTCTACCTTCTCTGCAACGGTGCGGCGATCTGCGACCTCTCGCCACAAACTGCTCATTTTCTCGCTGGTCCAGTGCCGTCAGTACTGGGGAGACGGGGCCTACCGGAACTACATTCCACGTCACATGCGCTAGCCGTGCGTCATTATCATTGTCATCCCAAATATATTCCTAGTAAAGACTCTATGCCGCCTGGCAATATCATCGCACGTGGGGTTTGACGCCCAAGTGACAAGCGGCGCCTGTCCTTACTGGTAGGAGAACTCTCCCTCGGCTAGCAAGAGCAACAGCGACGCCCGCCGGCGTCTCTTCTGCATCTAAAAAATGCCATCGCTCGTGGGGTATGTTTTCTCAAGTAGCGCACTCGTTTCGTAGCACGCCCTTAAAGTCTTACCACTCGCGCTCCTCCCCCCTTTTTTTGAGCCGATCAATTTTGGGGAAGCTTCGCGAAGGAAAGGTGGCCTTTTTGCCTCAGCAAATCAAATCCGAGAGTCTATCACAGGGATTTGCTCCAGCGGTGACCGCGAGGCTTGCGTATTCCAGGCCCTGACTCAGAATCGTTGACGTGGGTCCACCGTACCCTTTTCGCTTTAGCCACCCCCGTTTCCGCGCTTTCGCGGTTTTTGCGGCTGAAGAGCTTACTACCAGATCCCGTAGCAGCAGCAGCAGCAGCAACAGCCTGCTCGGGTAGAATGATTACCTGCGTGCGGCAATCCGCGGCAGGGACGATGTCGGTGCTACCCGCAGGCGTGCCACGCTCTCCCCAGGCCGGCTTCGCGATGATAATTTGCAGACCTATCCTCCTTGCCGTTATCTTTGCTGCCATGGTCAGCATCAGCGCAAAGCAAGCTTCTGCCGTCGTGCTAAATCCCGCCCACTGTAAGCTCCGCTTCACCTATTCCGAGCTTTGATGGGCTCAAGTCGTGAGTCGACAGCCACCATCATTTTGCTTTGAGATTCCAGTCCGGTCGGGTCCGCCGCTGCCGAATCCTCTTCCTCCTCTATCTCCTGCTCCTGCTCCTGCTCCTGCTCCTGCTCCTGCTCCTGCTCCTGCTCCTCCTCCTCCTCCTCCTCCTCCTCCTCCTGCTCCTCCTCCTCCTCCTGCTCCTCCTCCTCCTCCTCCTCCTCCTCCTCCTCCTCCTCCTCCTCCTCCTCCTCCTCCTCCTCCTCCTCCTCCTCCTCCTCCTCTTCCTCCTCCCTCCTTCTCTTTTTCCTCCTCGCTATTAGCCCCTACCCTTTATATCTCCATCTGTCATCAACCCCATCCCACTACATCAAGTTCTGCACCCTTCCGCCTTCTTTCCTTCTTTTGCATCCTCCTCTCCCTGTCGAATCTCCCTCTCCTTGCTCTCCCTATCCGTCCTCCCTCTCCGTGCTCTCCCTCTCCGCCATCCCTCTTCGTGCCCTCCCTATCCCTCCGCGCGCGGGGCCGTGCAGGGGCGGTGGTGGATGCGCTGAAAGGGGAGTGGCGGGACTTCGACGGCCGGTCCACATGGCTCATCACGAACACGTGCGAGGAGATGCAGGGCATCACGTGCAGCGTCGATGGATACATCACCAGACTGTACGACGCACATGCCGTTGCCGTGCCTTGAGACGTCTCAATTTTTCTAGACTTCTCAAAACTTGAGATGCAGGGCCTCATGTGCAACGCCGATGGTTACAACACCAGGATGTACGCTTGCCGTTGCCGTGCACATGGGGCCTCCGCTCCTCATGCGCTACCCATGCATTTATGTCCCTAACTACCAAACCACTCTTTACACTTCCTCCCTTCCTCCCGTCCCCGGCCCATTTCCCAATTTCCGTCTCCCGTTCTCACTCCCTTCCAACCCTCGCCATGGGTGCCTGGGGAAGATGTATGTGTGTGCACGTGTGCGTATGCATGGGCGCATGGATGCATGCACGCCATGTCATGTCATGTCATGTTATGTGCTTGCTGGTTTGCTCGTGTGTATGTTGGCGTGTGTCACGTGCCTTTGCTGTCATGCAGTGATCTAGCATACCAGACCCTGTCGTCATCCATCCCAGAAGTCATTACCCGGCTCGATACTCTCCAACACATGTAAGTGCCAGCCCATGCCAGCCCATGCCAGCCCATGCCAGCCCATGCCAGCCCATGCCATGCCATGCCAGCCCATGCCAACCCATGCCATGCCATGCCATGCCATGCCATGCCATGCCATGCCATGCCATGCCATGCCATGACATGCCATGCCATGCACAGTGCACACCATGGTGTGCTGTTTCATGTGCGACCTTGTTCCAGGTCATCCTGCGCTTCGTTGAAACCCACTCAGCCCTCAAGGCCCCACCATACCAAACGCTCGTCCTCACCGCGGGCCATCCTGCTTTTACAATTCACATCCTCATCTTCCATCTCGTCCTCACCCTTCCCATCGTCTCGCCTTGCGTCCCTGGCGTCGCTGCAGTGATGTGCAGAACTGCTCGCTCTCAGGCTCCATCCCCTCCTCCCTGGGCCGCTTAACCCGACTCATAGAACTGTAAGCTCATAGTCACTCGCCTCCACCACCACCTCCACCTGCCTTCCTCCTTCTGAGGCGCCTCAAAAGTGGGCTCCGTTTTCGAGGGGCCTCAAAAGGCTCTCCATTCCGTCCTCCCTGGGCCTCTTAACACGTCTCAAGGAGCTGTCAGCTCACCTCCACTACCACTTGCCTTCCTCCTTGCAACCACAACCCCCCCCCCCCCCCCCCCCTCCCCACCCCCCTTTTTCCAATTCAAATCCCCTGCTGCCTAGTCCCTAGTGCCTTTTCCGGATCTTTACTTCTCTACTCCTCTCTTCCCTCCTCTTCTCCGCTCCTCTTTCTTCCGCGGTCCCATCTCACCGCCCGTTACCCTCCCCCCCTCTCCCCTCCTCCCCTCCTCCCCTCCTTCCCCTCGCCTCACCAGCACTGCGCACATGAACAAACTGAGGGGCAGCATTCCACCCACCCTGGGCGACATAACATCCCTGCAATACCTGTACGTTGCTCCTGCCTCCGCCACTGCTCTTGCCCTTGCCACTGGCCATCTCCAGTTCAGTCCTGCTCTCGCCAGTCCTGCTCTCGCCAGTCCTGCTCTTGCCAGTCCTGCTCTCGCCAGTCCTGCTCTCGCCAGTCCTGCTCTCGCCAGTCCTGCTCTCGCCAGTCCTGCTCTCGCCAGTCCTGCTCTCGCCAGTCCTGCTCTCGCCAGTCCTGCTCTCGCCAGTCCTGCTCTCGCCAGTCCTGCTCTCGCCAGTCCTGCTCTCGCCAGTCCTGCTCTCGCCAGTCCTGCTCTCGCCATTCCTGCTCTCGCCATTCCTGGTCTCGCCATTCCTGCTCTCGCCATTCCTGCTCTCGCCAGTCCTGCTCTCGCCCTCCTCCTCTCGCCATTCCTCCTCTCGCCATTCCTCCTCTCGCCATTCCTCCTCTCGCCAGTCCTGCCGCCATTCCTCCTCTCGCCATTCCTGCCGTTGCCATTCTGTTCCCCCGCCTTCTCCCCTCCACCCTCCCCGTGTGATAAACGTCGTCTACATGTGGCAGGCAGCTGAGTGGTAACGAGTTATCTGGATCCATCCCAGATACCCTTGGCCAGCTCTCCGGCCTCGTCGCCCTGTCAGTGCTCTTACCATTACCAACCACCACCACGCCCACACAAGCACCAAGCACCGTTACCTCTAGCCGCCCACCGATTGCCGCCCACCCATTGCCGCCCACCCATTGCCGCCCACCCATTGCCGCCCACCCATTGCCGCCCACCTATGGCCACCCAACCATTGCCACCCACCCACAGCCTCCCACTCATCGCCACCCACACCCACTGCCACCCACTCATTGCCACCCAGCCATTGCTCTGAATACCGACATTCACCCTCCCAGCGAAACCACTGTTCTTTCCTGCGAATGTAAACCCTGTCTCCCTCCCTCTCCTTCGTCCTTGTTCCCTCCCTCTCGCCCTCCCGCCCTGCCTCCCTTCTCTCTCTTTCCTTCCCTCCTGCAGCCTTCTCAGCAGGAATCAGCTTGAAGGCACTTTTCCTGCCACCCTCACTGGTCTCAATCAACTGGTGAACCTGTAAGCTCCACCCACGCACCCCACCACCACTGCTTGCTTCTCCTCTCCTCCTTTTGTTACCCTTACCACGCTACGTGTATCTTCATTTGAGGCAGTTGAAGAATGTGTTTTTCCCGAGTGCCTGGTTTCTTTGGATGCATTCTTTTTCGACTTTGATTTCGTGGCCTGCGTTACCATTAGTGGTGGCGTGCAATTCCGTCCACATTGGCCATTGGTGCGCATTGGTCTCGACACATTTATCATAGCGTTGGTCGCTTCCCCCTTTTTTTTTTCAGTCTAAATATTGTACTAGTCTTCCAATTGTTGGTGCTTGCGCCTGCTCATGTGTGCTTGCGCCTACTCATGTGTGCTTGCGCCTGCTCATCTGTTCTTGTGTGTGCTTGTGTGTGTGCGCGCACAGGGATTTGAGTTGGAACCTGTTGGAAGGGCAGATACCTACAGAGATAGGGTCCTTCCCCGGACTGCAAGACCTGTGAGCCTCTCAGTGGCACTGGCACACATGCACACATGCGACGTGCATACATGCATGCATGCACACATACATACACACACACATGCACAAATGCACATGCACACATGCACAAATGCACATGCACACATGCACAAATGCACATGCACACACACATACACACACATAGAATGCACGCATGCATGCGTATTTGCATGCACAAACGTGCACAATAACAAACCAACATAAAGCACTTGCACACCACACCCCTACTCCCAACATTCCCTTCCCCATCTCTAGTCCCTCAACCCCTCCATTCACTGCTGCCCCATGGAACCCCAACCCCAATCTTGATTCCTCCTGCAGGCGGCTCAACGGCAACCACTTCTCAGGGCCTGTGCCCTACACCATCGGCTCCATCCGCACTCTGCGCACCCTGTACGCACGCACGCCCAACGCCCAACGCCCTCTGCCCTTGCTACTCTGTATAGCCCAGCCCTGCTACCCTGTGGCCGTGCAACCCTGGCTGTGCAGCCCAGCTTGGTCCCATGATGAACCTTGACCAGGATTGAGCCCCTTTCCCCCTGGCCTAAATTCACAGTCACAGTAGCCCCGTCTTCCAATCTCTCCATCCTCCTCTCTTCCGTCTTTTTCTGCTTTCTGCTCCCCTCCTCCACGACTCCCCACGTTTCTCCATCCTTACGCCCCCCTCCTATCCCCTCCCCCCGCCCCTGTCTCGCTCCCCTCCTCCCCGTCCCGTCCCCCCTGTCTCCCCTCCCTTCCCCCCCTTCCCTCCCCACCCCTCCCCTCCCCAACGCCTCGGCCCCTGACAGCCAACTCAGTGACAACGAGCTGCAAGGCCCGCTGCCGCCGACTCTCGGCTCGCTCACGTCCCTCGATGAAATGTCAGCACACCACACTACTCCCTCCCCCCTGCTCGCCTGCCCCGCTCCTTCCCTGCTTCCTGCTTTCTGTTTGTCTCCCCGCAAATGCCTTTCTCCGTGTGTTCTCGAACACATGCGCGCTCGTGTGTGTGTGTATGATGGGCGAGGCTGGAGAATGGGAGGTGATGGGAGGGGAGGGGATGGGAAAGCAATGCGAGTTCGTGCACGCACGTGCCCACACCCTTCATTGCTCAATCTTGGATTCTATCTTGTGCATTCATGATGCTGCTCCGTCCATTCAGATGGAATCCTAGTCCTCCTAAAGGCTGCTCCCTTGCCGCTCCCTTGCTGTTTCCTTGCTGCTCCATTGCTGCTGTGCGTCCACCCCACTCGCTCATCAGGCTCCTAGCCAACAACCAGCTATCCGGTGACCTGCCTGCTTCCATTGCCAACATCCCCTTCATTGTCACCATGTGCGCTCTCCCCTCCACCCTCACCACTGCACCTCACCTCACCACACCCCACCTCACCTCACCTCGTCTCACCTCACCTCAACTCACCTCACTTCACCTCACCTCACCGCGCCTTGCCACGCCTTACATCACTTCGCAGAATATCACCCCCACACCTCTTCTCGCCCACGTCTCATCCCATCCCACCCCATCCTTCTCTTCCATCCCGCCTAGCCCACTCCACGCCTCCATGCTCCTTGGATCTCATCCTTTCACCACCCGACCCGATCCCCCCTGCCACCATTCTCGTCCCTATCTGATCCTGTCATAAACCCTCCTCCCCCCTCCCCTTCCGCCCCCTGTCATCTGCGGGCAAACAGTGACCTGAGCTCCAACCTCTTCTCCTCCTCGCTGCCTTCCCAGTGGTCCTCCCTCTCTGTGCTGCGCAAACTGTGAGTCCCCAACACTGCTGCTACCCTGCCGTCGCTCACCCCTCCTTCTCGCCTCTTTCCTCTCCCCTTCCTTCCTCCCTCCCTCCCTCCCTCTCTGTCCCTCATTCCCTCCCCCCTCTCCTCCTCGCTCCTCCTCCCATGTCTTCCTCCCGCCCACCTGGCCTCTCTCAAATGGTCCTCCCTCTGGAGCACTCTATGCACGCATGCAAGCATGCACACACATGCTCAACTGCCATGCGCACGCACACGCTCACCCGCCACACACGTATGCATACACGCACGCACACACATGCACGCACGGTTCATGCAACATCCTTCTCGTCCACGCCCCACGCAGCTGGCGTGTCACATGCGTGCCCTCTTATGGTCCCCATGACCTCACCTCGCCCCTCCACCCCTCGTCCCCCTGTCCCCCCGTCCTTGCCTCCCACAGCCACATCCATCATACGCTCCTCTCTGGCGCCCTCCCTGCTGCCATCGGCTCCATGACCAACCTCCGAGACTTGTGCGTCGCCGTCTCTCTCCTTGTCTCTCAAGCGGTCCATGTATTAGATCCGAACGAGTACAGATATGCACGTCGCCCTCTCTCTCAAATGGTCCTTTGTATTGATTCAGCGGGGGTACAAACATACGGTTTGACTCGTGGCTCCCTTAGACCCTCTGATATGCACGTCGCCCTCTCTCTCTCTCTCTTCTTGCATTCGAGTAGCTTCCCAAGAAGGCCTTGTATTTCTGACTGACCTCTTATGCGTCCCCACGTTTCCCCCCATGACCACTCCATCCATCTTCTCACTTCCTACCACCCCCGCCGCTGCTGCTTTCCACTCCCTCCCTTGCCTCCGTGTGGTATCTGGCTCTGCCATGCCATGGCTTTCCATGCTGCAGTAACTCTTCTGTGTTTTAACCCCCCCTTGTCCCAATCCTTCCGACTCTTCTGCCTTTCCCCATCCCTGCCCTCCGTCCCCGCCCCCATCCCTGCCCCTCGTCCCTGCCCGTGTCCCCACCTCGCCCCTGTTCCCTGTTCTACCTGCAGGCGCATGTGCTGCAATATGCTCACGGGCTTCCTGCCTACACAGATAGGCCTTCTCACCAAGTTAACCCACCTGTGAGCTGCTTCGTCACATTGCACTGGATTCCCTGCCCTGCCCTGCCCTGCCCTGCCCTGCCCTGCCCTGCCCTGCCCTGCCCTGCCCTGCCCTGCCCTGCCCTGCCCTGCCCTGCCCTGCCCTGCCCTGCCCTGCCCTGCCCTGCCCTGCCCTGCCCTGCCCTGCCCTGCCCTGCCCTGCCCTGCCCTGCCCTGCCCTGCCCTGCCCTGCCCTGCCCTGCCCTGCCCTGCCCTGCCCTGCCCTGCCCTGCCCTGCCCTGCCCTGCCCTGCCCTGCCCTGCTCTGCCCTGCCCTGCCCTTCCCTGCTGCATTGCTGATTGCCCTGCTGCTAATCCATCCTTCTGCCCAGTTTTCCGCCTCTGTCCTTTCTATGCTCACTCCCTCCCCTCGCCTCCCTCCCGCCCTTCCTCCCTCCTGCCCTCCCCATGCTCCCTCGGACTCCTCCTTCCCCCATGTGTTCACCGATACTCTAAAGATACTCCATTCCTTGGACCATTCATGCCCTCCCCCTTCCCCCTTCCCCCCTCCCCTGCCTCCCCCCACCAACGATCTCACCTCCAGCCGCCATTCTACCTCGTTGGCAAGACACCCTCTTTGCCAACTTCTGAGGAGTCTCAATACTCCTCCCCTCCATCTCGCCCCGTTTGTGTTCCCTTTCCCCACCAGCGATCTCAGCTCCAACCGCTTTTATGGTGCGCTGCCGGCCACTCTCTCTGCCATCCAGCTAGCCACTGCCATGTGAGCCGCACACACCCTTGCCATGTTAGCGTGTCAGGTCGCACGTGTGTGTGTGTGCGCGCTTGTGTGCGCTTGTGCCCCTGCGCCCCTGTGTGTGTTCCACCCGCTGTCTCTGCCGTGCCATGCCCACACCGCTTGCCATTTTGCACCATGCGATCTCCATACCATAATCTACGACCACCAACCTACCTCCACCCTTTCTTCTTCCCCTTTGCACCCCTCTTCATCCCTCTTCCTCCTGTCCTGACCCACTCCTTCTTCCACCTGGCCTCTTCTCCCTCCTCCTCCCTCCCTCAGTCTCCTCCGCGACAACCAACTGAACGGCACGATTCTCCCCAAGCCATCAGCAGCCGTGCAGCAGTACCAGCTCGACTCCAACTTCTTCTCCGCCTGGTTCCCCTCCTCCCCCCACTCCTGTGCCGGTACCACCCTCTGGTCCAACTGTCTCCCGGTCCCCACTGTCTTCTCCGTCCCTCCGGGCTATCTCTGCCCAGTGGACTCCTTTCCACCGGAGGCGTACCGCCAGCGGAGCGCTGCTGCGTGTGCTGCGTTCTGCGGGCTGTGGGTCGGGCCGGAGTCGGCGGTTGTGGAGAGAGTGGTGTGCGGGGGCCACGGGAGCTGCTTCTTTGATGGACCCAACCGGGTTCCCACGTGTGTGTGTGACGTGGGGTACCTGAATGGCGAGGACCCGGGCACGTGTATCGACGCTGGAGGTGCGTGCAGGGGTGGTGGTGGTGGGGGGAGATTCCTTTTGAGGCGCCTTAAAGGTTCCCACGTGCGTGTGTGACATGGGGTACCTGAATGGCGAGGACCCGGGCACGTGTATCGACGCTGGAGGTGCGTGCAGGGGTGGTGGTGGTGGGGGGAGATTCCTTTTGAGGCGCCTTAAAGGTTCCCACGTGCGTGTGTGACATGGGGTACCTGAATGGCGAGGACCCGGGCACGTGTATCGACGCTGGAGGTGCGTGCAGGGGTGGTGGTGGTGGGGGGAGATTCCTTTTGAGGCGCCTTAAAGGTTCCCACGTGCGTGTGTGACATGGGGTACCTGAATGGCGAGGACCCGGGCACGTGTGTGGACTCTGGAGGTGCGTGCAGGGGTGGAGGTGGTGGAGGGAGAGTGTTTGTGCGTCTGGGATGGGGTGCGGAATGGGGGTTAGCGTCGATTCAAATGCAGCATGGGGAGTGCTGGGGGGTGTGTGTGTATGTGTGCGGTGGGGGTGGTGTGGGTGTTCGAATCTCTCAGGTCCCTTGCTTGCCTTGCCATCGTGCAAACCCTTGACCCCTTCTCACACCTATTTCCCCTTTTCTCCCTCCCTCCCTCCCCTCCTCCCTCCCTCCCCCCCTCCCTCCCTCCCTCCCTCCCTCCCTCCCTCCCTCCCTCCCTCCCTCCCTCCCTCCCTCCCTCCCTCCCTCCCTCCCTCCCTCCCTCCCTCCCTCCGCACCCCCTACCAGTCGACCCAAACACGGTGAGCCTCAACTCCAAGGAGCACTACAAGTCCATGATCACATACGGCAAAGCATTCATGGAGAGCGACGACGGCGCAATTACGCTCACGCCCTCACTGCCCTCCGTGTGGGGCGCAGCGCTCCTCTCCACGCCCATCCGCCTCTTCTCCTTTGACGTCAAGGCAGCCGAAGCCGGCCGCCAGCTCGGATTCACCGCCGCATTCTCCTTCTGCCTCTCAGCGGAAGGCGGGAACGGGACCAGCGGCTTCGCCTTTGTGATCTCCGCGAATGGCGTGCCGACAAGTGGCGCCGCCGGGGCGACCGGGGTTACGGATCTGGGATACGCAGGGATGGACGCACGGAGCGTGGCAGTGGAGTTTGACACGCGGATGGACGCAGCATCGAATGACCCTAGCAACAATCACATCGGGGTGGACATTGCCGGGTCTACCTCCTCGCTCGCCACTGCCACGCTCCCGCCCTCGCTCACTCTCAACGACGGGGAGGAGAAGCAGGCGTGGGTGACGTACTCGCCGCTCAAGGGCGGGGTGCTGGAGGTCTTTCTGACGACCGCTGCTGCTGCTGCTAAGTATGGCAAGCCGGCGGCGCCGGTGCTGAGTGTGAAGATTGCGCTGTGGAAGGTGCTGAAGCCGGGGGTGGCCCCGGCGGTCAGTGACTCGTACTTCTTTGGGTTTGTGGGCGCGTCGGAGCAGCCGCCGCAGGAGCAGACGATTTTGTCGTGGAGCGTTGTGACCGGTGCGTGGTGGTGGTGTGCGGTGGTGTTGGGCGGTGCGCGGGTGTTTAAGTGGGTGGTGGGGGAGGAGAAGAATCGTTTGGTGGGCGAATCAGGAGCAGGGGTAGGGCTGTAATCGTGCGGCGAAACATAGAATTTAGCTGAGGCATAGTGTGGGTAGGGGGGAAAGGAAGAAAGGCAAGTGGGCATGGAGGGGAGGGAGGGTAAGCGTGGAATGGGCTGCTCTGTCACACAGGCCTGTGTGACCTTTGACGCGCCTCAAAAGTGCCCTGTGTCACGTGTCTATGCCTGAGACAAAGCGGGGCGTCAGTGTGTTTCTTGCATTAGGTTTTTGTGTGTGGCAACACACTCTGTGTATTGACTCTCCTCTTTGTGTGTCTGTACTTGTGTCTGTGCGTATATCTGTGCATGTGCATGTGTGATTGCATGATTGCAGGTTTCCCGAGTCATCAGATCACGACAGGTATGTGCTGTCCCGTGCATGTACCCTTTTGTATATTTCCAGCATTCTCAACCTTGTGCGTGTGCGACACAGACAGTGCGTGTGCATGTGCATGTGCAGCAACCTTACCCCATTCTCGGCGTTTCTGCAGTGTGTGTGTGATCTCCCCTCTCACTCACACCTCCTCTCACTTCAAGTCTCTGACACTTCTCTCCACATCACACCTCACCACAACCATCACTGAACCACACCACACCAAACCTCACCACACCATCCATGCGATGCTCCTTCAATCTTCACCACTCCACACCCATGCCACCTCCCTTCCACCTTCCCCATCCCAGCACCATTCTCGAGCCGCCTCAAAAGTCCTTCCCTCTCCCGCTCCCGCTTCCCAACGCACACACATGCGCCCGTCACCCGGCGCCCATCACCCGGCACCACCAGGCTTCCCGCTAGGCCTCGTGCTGGAGAGCAAGCACCTGGCAACAGGGCCAATCAACCTCTTCTTCCTCACTAACTATCTGCTCCTCTCCTCCCCTCCCCTTCCTTCCCAACGCACAAATGTCACTGGCCCGGCACCACCAGGCTTCCCGCTAGGCCTCGTGCTAGAGAGCAAGCACCTGGTGACAGCGCCCGTGAACCCCTTCTTCCGCTACGCCAGTGTGGGCTACCAGGCCACAGCGCCCTTGGGTGCTTCCACTCACTCCCCGCTGGGAGGGGCGGCGACAGTGCAGGAGGAGTCGTGGGTGGTTAGCGCCAGCCAGTCGTGGCTGCAGCCGTCTCTGCACTGGGAGCTCCGCGACCAGGGCTCCTGCGGTTAGTGCCCTCTGCTCTCTGCTCTCCGCTCTCTGCGCTCTGCTCTCTGCGCTCTGCTCTCTGCGCTCTGCTCTCTGCTCTCTGCTCTCTGCCCTCTGCTCTCTGCCCTCTGCTCTCTGCTCTCTTCTCTCTGCTCGCTGCCCTCTGCTCTCTGCTCTCCGCTTCCTGATTGCCTAAATCTCTCTCTTGACCTAGCCTTACTCCTTGACTCGACCCTTAGTATGGTCGTCCCTCGGCAAATTCTCCCCCCCGTCCTCCCACCCCACTTTCCGTGGATCATTCCTCTCCCCGTTCTGTGCGTCGTCCTTTTACCCTGCTGCAACCTCCTCTTACTGATTGGAGTAAACTGCCTCCCCTAACTGCTCACTCACGTTCTCATCAACTTTCACCTCTTCCCAACTCCTCCCTCCCTCTCACCTGCCCTCCCTCCCCTTCTCCTCCCTTCCCCCCCCCCACCCCCCTTCCTCCTCCCCTTCCCCCCCACCCCACCTGAACCAGGCGACTGCTGGGCGTACGGGGTGGTGCAGAGCATCGAGGCAGCCTACGCCATCCTGCACAACCGCTCTGCACCGCTGCTTTCCGTGGAGCAGCTACGTAGCGACGTGGGCGCGGATTGCAGTGGGGGCTCGCCCTTTGTGGCCTTCCAGTACCTCACGTTCCTCGGCAAGGCCGGCAAGGGGCTGTTAGAGGAGAGCCAGTTTGTTGCTCCGAGTGGTGGTGCCGGGGGGAAGGGAGCGACGGGTGGGGCGGGTGGAGGTCGCCGGGTGCCGTTTCTTGAGAAGCTGAAGCGGGCGCTCATGCGGTGGCGGTCAAAGGGAAAGAAGAAGGGCAAGGTGTGTGAGGATTTGGTGGATGCATGGATGCATGGGCGGATGGATGGACGGATGCATGGAGTGGGGTGTGGAACACTGCGTGTTCGATGGTTTGGTTCCGTTCAAGTTAGTGGGTGGGGGGATGAGAAGTGAGAGAAGTCTCATTTCTAGGGAGGGGTGTTTTTAGTTGGAGTTGGATGGAGGAGGGGAAGAAGGGAAGGGCGTAGGGGGGTTGGGTTGGGGAGGAGGTGCGGATCTTGTGGAAAGGCAGACATGCGGGTGGATGGGTGAGGAGGAGGGTGAGCAGTGAGCACCCCAGCATAATTCCTTAGCTGGTCTCTTCTCGTGTTGTTAAGGGTGTTGCGCAGCTTTCTTTCTTGCATTCATGTGTTTTTGTGAGTGCGTCTGTGTGTCGATGTGTGCACCTGTGTGCACTTGTTTGTATGCATGGATGTGTGCATGTGTGCAATGTGTGTATGCATGCATGTGTGCATGTGCGAGCAGAACAAGGTGACCAAAGGACTGAGAATCAGTGGCTTTGAGCGCACGTCCTTCTATGGCTGGTTTGGGCTGCTGCTGGCCGTGCAGCGGCAGCCAGTGGTGGTGCATTTAGAGGCGTCTGCTGAGACATTTGTCAACTACGATGGGGTGAGTCGCTTTGTGTGTCTCTCTCTACCACGCTCCCGTTCGATAATTCTCAGAAGTGACTTGAATTTAGCGGCAGCCAGTGGTGGTGCATTTAGAGGCGTCTGCTGAGACATTAGTGAACTATGATGGGGTGAGTCGCCGCGTCCCACTCTCTTTCTGACTTTCCGTCCATCCATCTCTCCTCCACACCCGCACATCTTGTGCCTTGGTCCGCCTCCCCCTCTCTCATCGAAACCACCTTCCTCAACCAACCAAGATACTGCCCTCGTCGGTGGTTGCAACTCAGATCAATATCACATCCCTCCACACATCACGCCATTACCTCAATCTTTCTTTCACAGAAGCTATCGTGGTGGTATCTATCATCATGCCAACAAGGCTATGCCATTAGCTCAATCACTTTGCCTTACAGCAACCATACTCTACACACTACAAGAAATCCACGTGTAGAAAGTAGATTTTTGAGACGTCTCAAAAATCTACTTTCTACACGTGGCTCAATCACTTTGCCTTACAGCAACCATACTCTACACACTACAAGAAATCCAACACCACATATCCTGCCTACACTGCACTCGACTCCCTAAGCCCTATCTTGCTGTTCATTCCCTCCCTCCCACCCATAAACCCTCCAGTTTGCCAAGTACCAGGACCCGGCGTGCTTCACGTACAACCTGAACCACGTGGTGCTGCTGGTGGGGTACCGCCTGGTGGGGTCAGATGAAGCCTTCCCCCACATGGCGCCGCCCTTCTGGATCATCCGCAACTCATGGGGGGCTGACTGGGGTGATGGGGGCCACATGCGCATGGACATCCAGGGGGGGGATGGCGTGTGCGGCATCAACACTCTGCCGGGCCTCTATCCTGTTGTGAAAAGTATGTTTCTCAACCACCTGTGTGCTCTGATGGTTCTCATACCAGGGTAGGGAGGTAGGCATTGCTTCTGATCTCATTGTGATTTTCCCGTCAGAGTGCAAGACTCGTGTGTGGGAGCGGAGCAGTACCACTGGGTTGGGATTCCTGCTGCTTTGCGCTCTTCCATGCTGTGTGCTTCGGTGTCCTGTCCTGTCCTGTCCTGTCCTGTCCTGTCCTGTCCTGTCCTGTCCTGTCCTGTCCTGTCCTGTCCTGTCCTGTCCTGTCCTGTCCTGTCCTGTCCTGTCCTGTCCTGCGCACTGGACTTGCAAACAAACCAGAATAACCTCCCATCCTAGTTCGCCAACCAAATTCTTGTATTGGTTCAGAATTCCTCCTTTCCCTCTCACGCACATCTCCACTCCTTGCTCATTCTACATCGCGGCACCACCACTACCCGTTTCTCCAGGCTCCACTGACCCATGCAATGGTGCGGCCACAGCAGCAGCGGCAGGAGCAGGGTCTAATGATGGGGGCGCGGCACTGCTGAATCCGTGTGGGGGCTTCCCGTGTGTGCGGGACGGCGCCCGCAACAAGTGCCAGTGCATGCTGCCGTTCGTGCAGGCCACCAATGCGGACGGCTCTAGAACCTGCGCTTATGGTGAGCACAGAGCAGAGCCTGGCAGGCCACTGATGGGCAATGTTGATGGGATGCTGATGGCATGCTGATGGCATGCTGATGGCATGCTGATGGCATGCTGATGGCATGCTGATGGCATGCTGATGTCATGCTGATGTCATGCTGATGTCATGCTGATGGCATGCCGAGGCATCGAGTTGCGTGCAGGCCACCAATGCTGTGCTGACAGCTCTGTATCCGTCTGAATATTTCTCGCTTGCCCTTCCCACTCTCTGTCACTGCAGTGGACGTGTGTGGGTCCAGCAACGGCAACCCATGTGCGGTGGGCACGTGTGTGAATGACGGGGCGGGGTCGTACTCGTGTGTGTGTCCACCGGGCTTTAGGCAGGGCACCACCGTCGATGGCACCTTCTCCTGTGCTCCAGGTATCTTGTCCTGTGCTCCACCATTCTTTGTGTCTACAATGTACCTCCTTTGTGCTTGTGCCATGAACTGCCATGAGCGTTTGCAAGTCTGGCTAGTCTCATGTGACGAGTGACAGCAGCACACATATGAGAAACCATGGGCTATCATGGTCGCTAACACTTCCATATTGACATGAACCTCAACTGGCCTCCTCACTTTCTCCCCTGCGCCCCCTGTCCTCTCCATGACAGGCAGCACCAACGGCAGCTACACGGTGATGGCAGATGGCATGACATGCACAGACGTGCACGGCATATACGGGCTCACCCTGTCTCAGTTCCAGGCGCAGAACAAGCACGTCGACTGCGACAAGCCCCTGCCACGCAACACCCGCCTCAACATCACCTCCTCGCTGCCGCTCTGCTCCGTCTTCTACTCTGCTGTGCAGGTGGGTGGCTCTTGTTGCCCTTAGGTCGATTCCTAGGTGGCTCTTATTGCTGACAGGAAGGCAATGGCTGCAGTGCTTTACTACTCTTGTGCACTGCTGCTGTGTGTAAGGCAGGTGGGGTTCAGCAGCTTCTCATTCTTTTCAAGTGTCATCCCCTTCCCCCTCCGCTACCCCACCCCTTCCCCCGTACATGTCCAATATTCACTCGACCTTTCTCCCACAACTCCCATCTCCCTGCATCTCCCGTCTACCCTTCAGGGCGACTCGTGCCTATCTGTGGCAAAATTCTTCTCTCTCGACGACTCCTGCAACCCTGTAGGCCGGCCGTGTGTAGAGGCCTTCCAAGCGCTCAACCCTGGGGTTGACTGCACCACCAACTCCGGAGCCCTGTCTCCCAGCCAAGTGGTGTGCCTGGAGCGAGATTCCTCACCTGCTGCCGGCAGTGGTGGGGCTGGGGATGCGGGGGATGCGATGGTGCCGGTTTGCAGTCAGACCTACATGGTGCAAGGGGGAGAGAGCTGTGAGGCCATCCGTAATGTGCCATCGCCCCCGCTCTCCCGCCTCAACTTCTACCGGCTCAACCCGGGGATTAATTGCGATAAGCTCGTGCCGCCCAATGGCGTGGATGCGACGACTGGATTCGAGGTGCGGCGGTTACTCTTACTCGGTTGCGAAGGGCTGTGTCAGGTCATGCTCATGCTTGCTCATGCTGTTGCTGTTGCTCATGTTGCTGCTGTGGTGCAATGCCTACAAGTGGCTCATCTCCTTCCCCTTGTCGTCTCTATGTTCTCAATGTGTGTGACATGTCATTCTGTCTTGCAAATTCTAATGCAGGTGTGTATACAGTCTGCGTCATCCTACAGAGCGGGGTCCTGCCCTCGCTCCAACTTCCACATTGTTGTCAACAACGACAGGTGTGGCACAATTCAGTTTAAGTACTTCAAGGGAATAAAGAGCTGCTACAAGCGGATAAATGGATATGATTGCCTAGACAAGCTGAAGCAAGGAACTCGGATATGCCTACCTGACCCAGCAAAGATTAAGAGGGGTAGGTGTTCTATCTAGCGCAGAGACCATTGCTAGATGTTCCTAATAAAAAAGCCCAATTTCATTTTCATGTGTACCAATTCTGGAACACTTTGGAACAAGCTTCAATTGGCGGGAAAATGGAGTGAAGGGTTTCCAAGCGAGATAAAAAGCAGTGGGGTTACAGTAGAGTTGTCAGAGGGGTTGCAGAGGTGGAGGGAGGTGGCAAGTGGGGAGGGGAGGGAGTTCTACTGTACTGTACTTCCTCCCTGAAAACTCCTGAGGGCCCGAGAATGTCCTCCGAAGGGGAAGGGGAATCAGGTTTGGGATTGGTCTGAGAGGTCGGGGAAGGGAGGGAGCTTTCACCCCGCCCCAGACCCCAGTTTCCCGCGACCGCATTATCGTTCACTGTACATGGTCGGCTGATTTTGTCGTTATTTGTGTGAAAGAGGCACTGGATTTGTTTGTAGGTTCCCCGAGGAAGGACGAGTGCGAGCGACTCGTCATGAAAATTGGGGTTGACAAAAACGTCTGGCACTGTACCTGAAATCACTGACCGAAACGAGGGTGGAAAAGATGCACCGTGCAGAACTGTACAGTAAATCGTACAAGGGGCCGTCTCTGTGCAGTGAGTGGAAGGAAAGGGAAAGAAGGGTCGCCAAAAGCACAGTGAAATGGGTTTTCGTGCGGGACTCGGTCGGGAGGGGGATACTGCAGCTCAGCTGTACAGTAGTGTACAGTTCTACACTGCAGCATTGCAGCATTTTACGAACGAACCGTCACACGGAGCACCACTCTTTTCCACTCCACCTCCTTGAGTGTCATGAGACTGTGGGGTGGGTGGGTTGAGTGAATGAGGAGGGAGCAGGGAAAGGGAGGGGCGCTATTTCAAACCAAAACCACTTGTCGAACCCCGCGTGAGGTTGGGGGAAGGTGGGACTGAACGGAGAAATGGCATCAAGAGTGGAACCTTCACTGCAGTCACATCATGACTTGCCATCCACCAACCGAGTATCCTCGACGTTCGTTCCAGCAGCAGCAAGCTCCTCCAAGTGCTTCTGCCGACTCTCTCGCTGGACCTGGACAGGCACAGATTTAGTCTGCCCGCACGTTACGAAAAAAAAATCACATCGTGTTATCCATGCCCCGTCCTAAACGTGGCGCGCCTTGCACAAAACCGCGAACCTTTTGTTGGGATTCTTCTTGAGAATTCTCTCAAGCGCCTAAAACGTTATATGAGAGGCGTCCAACCCTCTACGTGTCACGTAAGAAACGGGCTGGGACAGCGCTATCCGCCTTACCCCTTGCCTGCGCCATCCCCCCTTACTACCGCCGCCTTGCGCCATCCGCTTTACCGCCGCCTTGCGCCATCCGCCTTACCGCCTCCTTGCGCGGGCCGCCTTACCACCGCTTTGCACCATCCTCCTTGCGCCATCCCCCTTGCGTCATCATTGCCGCTCCCCGCGCGATCAGCCTCTGTCTTGCTGCAGCCTTACCCCTAACCGTCGCGCCATCCGCCACCATCGGCGTCACCTACCGCTGCTGCCTACCGTGAGGTGACCGTCGCGTTGCGCCATCCGTCTTAGTACCGGCCCGTCCCGTGCTGTTTCGTCCCGACCCTTGTCAAGCCGTGCCGTCGAAACTCCCTTCGTCCCGGGCCGCTCGCGTCCCGGGCCGCTCGATGCGCGGTATGATGGGAGTGGAGCCGCGCCGCCTCGCGCTCAAAGTCTTGCGCGCAGCGCTCGCCCTTGCGCTGCTGCACGCCTTGGCGGAGCTTCCGCCACTGCTGGGGGAATCCGCGGCGGACGGCGGAGGGGGAGTAGGCCCCGGAGTAGACACCGGGGGACGCGGAGGAGGAAGGGGAGTTCGCGAAGGGAGGATAGCGACCGCGGCGGAGCGGAGTTACTATCCGCGGAACTACCATGGGCGGAGTCCGGGCGGGGCTACTACTCCTAGGCGCCGCTCGATGTATTCGCTGTTTGCCTCCGCGCAGATCATAAGCGACGCGGACAGTAAGCCCATCGGGAAGCTCCTAGTTGTACTTATGGAGGTACTTAACATAGTAGTAGAACGTCTCGCGCTAGGCTTATCTACCACCACTGCCACTGATGCTAACTATGATGATAGTAGCGGTCGCGGGGCTCGCGGAGGGTGTGATCCCCTCCCCGTGACGGCTTGCGCACGGGGACGGCGCTCCCCCCTTTCCGCACAATTTGCGGAAGTTGAACCTGAGTGGGCGTTCCTCTCGTACATCCCCGCCCGGCGCTACTTCGTTCCGCCTTTCACTCCTCCGCACCCCCGTCCGCTTCCGCCTCGCCCTTCCGTCTCGCCTTAAACTGCCCCCAACATAGTCTTTCCTTCCGCGCCCCGCGGTCGTCTCACGGTCGTCTCCCCCAACATCGGCTTCCCACTCCCCTCCCCTTGTCGGCGTTTTCTTTCCCCCCGATAATCCCCCCATCATGCCCCCCTTCCCCTCTGACAATCCGCCCATACCCCCTTTTTCCGCTCCGCCCCTTTTCTCACCGTTCCCCCTCCGCCTTCCCCCGTCCGCCGGAACCCCATTCGGCGCGCAGTGTCGGTGCTGGCGGATCTCAAGGCGGAATGGGGCGCGTTTCCGGGGAGTGCCACGTGGCAGAGCGGCAGAGAGTGCGCGCGGATGGCGGGAGTGACGTGTGACAAGAATGGCAACGTGCAGAAGCTGTACGTGACCTGGCATGACCTGGCATGATCTGGCATGACCTGGCATGGGCATGGGCTTGCATGGCACGGCATTTCACGTCATCACATGGGCTGACATGGCATGGCTTTGTATTGTCGTGGTCTGAAAGCCGTGTGGCATGCATGCATTCATTCACGCCACGTCCTACGGATTTCCGGCCGGCAGGGTTCAGTGCTGCTTCTTTCCGAGCAACGTGCATATTGACCCCTCAGCAACGTGCTGTATCACATGCCTCTCCTCTCTCCGTCGTACCCCCAATTCCCCTCTCTCCCCCTGCCCCGTCCTTCAACCTTTCTCCTTCCCCGTCCGTTTCCCTTACCCCTTCCCCCTTCCCCGACGCTCCGCACTCCCCACGCACCTCCTTCCCGCCCGGGTCACTCTCTGCGTCACCTCCGTGCATGTGCGCTGTTGCCTGCCTGTGCTGTGCTGCGCTGGCTCTCCGTCTTCCCAACGCGCCGTGTGTGTGCGTGCTGTCACCATGCCACGACGAGCAGCATGCTGAGTCGAAAGCAGCTCACGGGGTCGTTGCCTGCCTCCTTCGCCAACCTTTCTGCCCTTGAGCAACTGTGAGCGCTCGCTTGTGAGAGCTCTCAAAGTTGACGCCGATGTATTTGTGAGATTGTGCTAAGCTCCTTTGCAACAAGTGGCTTGCTTGACAGTTCGCACTAGTGCCTCACCTGCCCGGTGTAGAGGCGAGAGGCGAGGGGCGAGGGGCGAGAGGCGAGAGTGGAGAGGCGAGAGGCGAAAGGTGAGAGGCGCTCCATATCCCTTGCCTTGCCTGTATAGCAGCACACGCATCATCCATGCCTACTTGTGCCATGCGCCGTGCACCATGACTCCCTCCGTTCCATGCATTCATCATGCATTGCTGCATGTGTGTGTGCGTGTGTGTGTGTGTGCGTGTGTGTGTGTGTGTGCATGTGTGTGTGCGTGCATGGCGAGCAGGGATCTGAGCAACAACAAGTTGTATGGCCCCATTCCCCTCTACCTCACCACACCGCCCAACCTACAGCTGCTGTGAGTCCTCTTCCCACTCCTCTTCTCACTTTTGTTCTCATTTTCCAACTCTCCGCGCCTTTTATTCGTAGTCCTGTTAATAAGTAGCCCCATCTCTAGGAAACAGGGCAAGAGGAACACAGGGCAGGGAAAGGAGAGGTTGGAAACGGTGGGAAGTGGTTAGGAGAAAGAATGTGCACGGGATGGGGGAAAATTTGTTGTCCCAAAAGGGCTTTGTAAGGGTGGGAAGGAGGGCGAGTTTGGGAGTGTATGTCCATGGAAAAGGCGAGACATGGGAGGTGGAAAGGAAAAAAAGTCAAGACGGTGGGAAGAAAAGAAGATTGAAGGAAAGGTCATCTAAGGTACCAGAAAGTTATTGTCTCCCTGCTCTGCTTTCGGCTTGCTCCGGTGACCCTTCCCACTTCTCCCCACCTTGACGTTCCTCCTCTCCTCTTTCTTCTCCTTCACTCCTGCCCTCATCCGCTCCCTGTCTCCGCACCCTCCCCGCCCCGTCCCACCAGCAACCTGCACAACAACCAGCTTTCTGGCTACCTCCCATCCGACTGGCCCGCATCCCTCGCCACTCTCCTCCTAGACAACAACTACCTCTACGGCGAGCCCGCACTCTCCTCCTGCCCTGCCACCCTCTCCCTCCGCTCCAACTGCCTCTCCTTCCCCTCGCCCTCCTCCTCCTTCCGCTGCGCCCGCCACCCGCAGCGTCCCCCCGCCGCCTGCTTCGCCTTCTGCGCCCTCATTTCCCCGGATCAGCAGCCCTGTTCGGGCGTGGGCACGTGCCGGCTGGGCAAGACAGGCAAGCCCGCATGCGACTGCGACGAGGGGTACGTGAGCCGCGCTTCACCGGGGTCCTGCGTACCGGAGGCACAGACTGCCTCCTTCTCGCTCTCGCTCGCCGACTCGCCCCCTGTGCGCCTCAAAGGTTCCGCGTCCTTCTCAGGGAAGCAGCAGACCTCGGGTGTGGTTCCCACCTTCGATGTGCCGCCGCCTGACAGCCCCTTGCAGCAGCTGCTGGTGAGCCCTGCTGTGCGCGGGGCTTGGGGCGCCGTGACTCTCCTGCCGCTCGTCACTCTCTTTGCTTTCTCCACCCCGCTGGACCCCTGTGGCCGCCAGCTCGCCTTCAACTTCTCCTTTGCCTTCTCCATGTCTACCGAGGTCTCAAAACTCAACTCCCCTGCCTCCTCTTCCTCCTCCTCATCCACCTCGTCCTCCTCTTCCTCCATTTCCTTCCCCTTCCTCTCCTCCGCTGCAGCTGCAAGCTCGGCGGGCAGGCTGGCAGCCGCAGCAGCAGCAGCAGCGGCAGGGGTAAGGCCAGGGGCAGGAGCAGGAGCAGGAGGAGGAGGAGCACCAGGGGACGGACTAGCCTTTGTGATAAGCGCAACGGAACCGACAGGGGGGCCAGGCATGGGGTACAAGGGCATGGGCAAGAGGAGCGTGGCAGTGGAGCTAGACACACGCATGGACGCCAAGAGTGGTGACCCGGATAGCAACCACGTGGGGATCAACGTGGGGGGGAACAGCCGCTCGATTGCCACAGCTTCAGTGGACGCCTTTTCTCTCAACAGCGGGGATCCGCGATACGTTTGGATCATGTACGATCCTCCTGCTGCTGCTGCTGCTGCTGCTGGCGGTGGCGGGGGCAGTGGAGGGGGAGGAGGAGGAGGACAGGAGGGGAGGCTGCGGGTGTTCGTGGCAACAAGGAGGGTGAAGCCAGGGCGAGCGCTGCTGGATGTGCCTCTGTCTCTCTGCTCCGTGCTCAAGCCATCTGCATCAGAGCCTTCTGTGTTCCTCTCCTTCTCCTCCTCCTCGTCCTCCCCCGCACAGGCACACCTCGTGCCCTGGTGGGAGCTGCAGACAGGTGTGTGTGTGTGTGTGTGTGTGTGTGTGTGTGTGTGTGTGTGTGTGTGTGTGTGTGTGTCTGTGTGTGCGTGTGTTTGTATGTGTGTGCGTGCATGTGTTGTGTGGAAGAGTCTGTGTGTGATTGTGGGGTTAAATGCGCATGCATGCGTGCATGATTCGCCGTATGCTCTGTCGTTCACATCTCTGTCCATTAACGTCTCTCTCTCTATCCCTCTCCCACTTCCTCACCCACCAAACGAGGCATTCTCCTCTCCCATCACTCCACCGCCCCACATTGCCACCTTCTCAAAACTCTCATCTCCCATCGCTCCACCACCCCGCCAGGCCCATCGGATCCCTGCTTCGGTGTGTCTCGCCTGTCCCCTACCAGCGTCTACTGTCGCTCCGACGTCTCCTCCTGCCCCAGCAAAACCACAGGCTCTGGCACTGGGGGAGTTGTTGGTGCCACTGCTGGTGGTGGTGGTGGTGGTGATGGTGGCATTGGTGGGTTCATTGCGAGTCAATTCGCCCCAGGAGAAGAACAGGGAGGAGGGAGCGGAGGAGGAGGGCAAGAGCAGGGCGGGATGACTGGAGGCTGTGAGATTGGTAAGTTTTGAGGGAGCGTCGAGCATCAAGCTTAGAGCATGGAGCATGAAGGGCATGGCGCATCGGGCATGGAGGATGGGGGATGGGGCATGGGGCATGGGGCATGGGGCATGGGGCATGGGGCATGGGGCATGGGGCATGGGGCATGGGGCATTTGGCACGGAGCAATGAGTAGGGAGCAGTGTGCTGCACTGCACTACCGTCTTGAGAATTCTCCCCTCCCCCCTTCTCTCCCGTCCCCCTCTCCCCCTTTCCTCATGCTGCAATGCCCTGTCTCGTCTATGCATCGCCCTAAGGCCTCGCTCACCCATGGTGGCACTTATCCGATCTGTGTGCCTGACAATCCCCAACGTTGTCATCCCACCCCTGTCTGCTGACAACTGGGTGCACGTGTGCGTGTGCGTGTGTGCGCGAGTGTGTGCGTGTGGGTGTGCATGCGTGTGTGCATGCATGCAGATGCATGTGGCGTGGGTGACAAGAATCCCTGTGGCGTGGGCACGTGTGTGAATGACGGCTACGGCGCGTACACCTGTGTGTGCCCCCCCAACTTCTATCTCGGCACCTCAGAGTTCGGCGCCCCCTCCTGCGCACCCGGTCAGTACCCCACTCTCCACTCCCTCCCTCTTCCCTTCCTCACTCCTCGCCTGCTTACCGCATCCCGCTTCCTGCTTCCTGCTGCAGCAGGCCTGTGTCGCTGCCCTTCTGACTCTCTGGTGCTTTAGTCCCTTCGTTCTTTGCCAAAGCGACCTTGCATTGTGCCGCTCTTCGTCCTGATCTGTGACCAGACACCAGCAGCAGTTTAGTGCAGTGCAGTGCTGTGCAGTGCTGCTGCTTGGGTTCCTGAGAGTCACCCGTCGAGGCGCTGCATAAGTGGCGCAATATCCAACATCCTATACCCTCCCCACACTCCGCACCACTCCAGACGACAGTGAGAACGTTTTCACAGTGACAGTGAGCACCGTGTGGTGCTAACACTTTTGAGATGTCACCCCATCCCACACTCCCCCATCCCATCCCACACTCCACCAGGCGAGAGTGACAACTTCTTAACAGTGACGGTGAGCACCATGTGGTGCTACCACGTGCACCCGCTCTTTGGCCTCACCCTCGACGAGTTCCTCCAGCAGAACGACGTGCGTGCGGGAATGGGAGCTGGTGGGATGGGTTGGGGTGGGGTGGGATGGGGTGGGATGGCAGCGCTGTTCCACTGCATGCACAATGCGAGTGGGAGAGTACGAGAGAGAGAGGGTGTTGGATAGTTGGGGGGGGGGAAGAATAGCAGGGGGCTGGGATCGACCACTTCTTGCTTCACAGCGATGCTCATCTGCCCATTCCAACCCCACCCCAACCCCACCCCTTCCCCCACCCCTTCCCCCACCCCTTCCCCCACCCCTTCCCCCACCCCTTCCCCCATCCCTTCCCCCACCCCTTCCCGTACCCCGACCCCTACCCCAACCCGTCCCGTTCACGCTTTTCCCACGCTGCTCCCTTACACCAAGTGCTGGCACTGGTGTGTGCCAATCCCCTGCCGTTCAATGTGAAACCCGTGGGCAGAGAGAGAGAAGTCTTTTAAGGCGCCTCAAGAACAGGCGTCTCTCCCTCACTGCCCGTCCCTCCCCACTCTCCCTCCCCAATCCCCCACGGCCCACGGGGTGCAGGCGGTGGTGTGTGACCAGCCGCTGCCTGAGGGCGCTGTGATCAACGTGAAGCCGAGCCCCAACTACTCGCCCTGCTCCGTCTTCTACACCACTGTCCAGGTAACCACCTGCAGTGCGTGTTGCTTTTAATGGATGGCTCGACGACTGTCAGATCAGATCGGCCCAACACCTCTGCCCGGGTCATGTCCACACGCTCTTGTCTGCCTGCCCGCCTATCCTCCCATGCTGCTTCTTTTCCCTCCTCCCTCCTCCCTTCTACCCCCTCCCTCCGTCTCCCACCCCGCGCCCTTTTCCCGACCCATGAATCGAATTTCCCTCCACCTGCTCCCATGGATCAGAATTCCTTCCTTTCGCTCACATGCCTTTTCTGTCTTGCTCATGCACTTGTGACCAGCGTGCGAATGTTTTTTTTCTTTCTTTCTTTCTTTTTCTTCCATCACCGCCGCTCCATCCTGCACTCGCTCGCCGTCTCTCCACCATCCTCTCCCCAGCCACCCACCCTTTCTTTCCACTCCACCTTTTCCCCATTCCTTCTCACCTCCCTCTCCCCTCCCCTTCCATTTCCCTCCTGGACAACCGAATCCCAGCAGCCCTCAAATCCCCCCCTTACCCCCAACTCCTCCTTCACTTCCCACCCCGCCCCTTCCCTTCTCCACCCTCCGTCATCCCCATCCCCCCTTCCCTCCCCGTCCACCCCACCAGAACGACACGTGTGAATCCATAGCCGCCACGTTTTCTCTTACCGGCTCCTGCCCAGACCCCTCCCAGCCCTGCGCCACGGACCTCCTCCGCCTCAACCCTGGCCTCGACTGCAGCATCACCACCACCGCAACCACCACCACAAAAACACCGACAAAACCGTTAGGCGGCAGCAGCAGCAGCGACCTTGAGAAATCGCTACCCACGGGTCTGTCCATCTGTGTGGAGAGAGCCACAGCACTGCTGCCTGTGTGCGGGGAGACAGTGATAGTGGAGAGTGCGGGGAACGCGACGTGTGCGGCGGTGCTGGCGGGGATGAAGCCGGCGCTGAGTGCGCTGGAGCTGTACCGCATGAACCCCGGCATCTTCTGCCACCGCCTCCTCCCGCCCTCCCGCGACTCCGGCTTCCCAGGCTCCGAGGTACAAGGGGTGGGGTGGGGTGGGGTGGGGTGGGGTGGCAGGTGTGGTGCGGTGGGTAGGTTCGGAGGTGTGATGGGTGGAGTGGGAAATGTGGTGGGGTATGTTGGTCTGGAGTTTGACATATAGTCTAGCATGTATCGCGTCGCTCAGGCTTGTTCAGTCATGTGTCCCTCTGAAGTCCCTTTTGCCCTGGGTGGACTCCTGTTGCTATTGCAGGTCTGTGTGGCCGTCAGTATGAGCATGACTATGGGCTCATGCCCACGCTCCGAGGTGTACTTTGCTACAGATAATGACAGGTGCAGTGCCATTCAGTTCAGGTTCTTCAAGGGCATAAAGAGTTGTTATAAGAAAATAAACGGGTATGATTGCCTAGATAGACTTAATAGGGGTACAAGGATTTGTTTACCAGACCCTGCCAAGATCAGGCAAGGGAAATGCTCTATTTAGGATGTGTAAATAAATGATGTGGTTGTGATGCTTCTGTAGTATTTGTCCGCTATGGGCTACTCTGTTCAATTACATGTTCCACTTGAATGATACGGGGGATTTCACAGGACCAAGCAAAGGGGGTACTTGGAATGAACCTTCACACCACAGGCTCGGCAGAACTGCTGTTTTGCTCACCCCCTCTAAAGAGGACAAAAGCCAGGTTCAGACAAATGAGAAAAGCGGGCAGCAGACACCTCTCTCGTCTACACTCCCGCCGAACCGGAACCCAGCCTCGTCCTCACTGACCATACCATACCGTACCGTGCGTGGTGTCCTGGTTTGTCTGCCTCACTTTGGTGGCTTCATTTGTCGGTTGCAGGTTCAAGTATCTATGGGGGAGGGGATTTTTTTTGGAACTTCTGGTACTGTAACCAAAACGCCCAAAACATATTGAGGGTAGAATGACGACGGATCACGAGTCACGACGATCACACTGGGGAGCGGGACACTGCGTCCAAACATAGTGTTGAATATTACGTGCACTGTACACAGCTAATGAGGAAAAGCGAACGCGGAGGAAGGAAGAAGGGTGGAGGGAAACTGTAACCATAACTTGCCAAACCAAACTCCAAACCGGCTTTTAAGCAGCAGAGCCCCCCCTAACCCCGTCTGTTGCTGCAGCCCAGACCTGCACCAAGGTTGATTCACATCCCATTCCAAACCAACGCAACACAAGACACAACACCAAAATGTTGTGTTGTGTTGCGGCGATCCCGCAAAACAGTTAGTCTCCCATCGCATGCCTTTCTCCTCCCCGCCTTCTCTACTCACCACGAGTCTTGCACATTCTTGTAGTTATCGCGGCACCGCCTGCACAAACTGCGGACGTCGGATGGCAGGCCCCGGTCCCTCAGGGAAAGAATGGATTGTCATTGCAGCAGCGCAGCTTAGTCACTAGCGAGTATGATACGGTGTCATACCTCCAGCCCCCTGCCATCCACCTCCCATCATCCCGTCCCCGGCCGTCCTGCCGTCCGATTCGCATCCCGTCCCGTTGCGCGGCAACATCATGGGAGTGGGCCCGCGCCGCCACGCGCTCATCGTCGCGCGGATAACTCTCGCCCTAGCGCTGTGGCACGCCATTGCGGACCTTAATACACCATTTGGGGAAATCTTTGGGGGAGGAGGAGGCGGAGTAGGCGGAGGA